GGAGATGCACTTCAGATTGAGCAAATATGGTAGATGTGCTTTAATTTGAGATGCACTTCAAATTAAGCAAATATGGTAGATGTGCTTTTATTGGAGATGCACTTCAATTTGAACAAACATGGTAGATACGCTTTTATTGGAGATGCACTTCAATTTGAGCAAATATGGTAGATGTGCTACTATTAGTGATGCACTTCAAATTGAGAAAATATGGTAGATGCGCTTCAAACTGAGCAAATATAGTAGATGTGCTTCAAATTGAGCAAAGATTTTAGGCATGAAATTAACAATGTCAGGAAAGCAATAATGTCAATGATAATGTGTAAAGTAAAGCTTATTAAAAAATGAATTCAAAAAAGTATTCATTAAAACAGTCACAGCAATTTTGCATACCATTTTTTTTATTTTAAATGTCTATTCTTTGCTTTTTCACAGGTGCATGTTCGTTTTAATATTCAGATAGTGATTTTTTTGAATGCGTAATTTTAACAAAACTGACCAGGTACAGTATGTACAATCACTAAAAAAAGTAAAAATACATTTGCAAATTTACAAACAACTAAAAATACTGCAAAACCAACAATGTTTATTGAACATTTTATTACAACAATGCAATACAAGTATGAAGATTACAGAACAAACAAAAAAGTTTCCAAAACTTGCATAAAAATAAAAATACAACTCCCTGAAATATGACACTAAACCATAAAAATATAACTACGATAGATACTGAAACTGACCAGATATGTTTTACCAGACATACTGAGCATGTTATGTGATTTTCTGATGAAAAATAAACTTTCTTTTAAAATTCAGTTAAACTTGGTTATTGCAAATAATAAAAAGTTATTTTAAAACAACTTTCCAAGAATGCTCCTTAAAAATTTCACACAAATTCAAATAAGTAAATAACTATGATAACAGATTGACACCAAATTTTAGATATGTATTTGGATATTTTTGTTGATAAATAATAGACTAAAAGAAAATCTATAATATTTGATTATTGCCAATTGTTCTTTTTTAGCAGTGTTGTATTTTTTCTGAATAACTGAATATATCACATTTGCTCTCTCTAAAAGTAATAACACAATATTCCATGTATGATAATAAAACATTGCGTTGACCACAGATACCTAATTTATTTATGTATGTGCTGCCAATAGAGCTAATACAGTATTAAAACTATTACACCAATCATTTTTAAATTAGCTTTGTTGCTTTTGCAATAAAACTAAAAGTTCATTATCTCCCTTTTTGTAAACCACCTGCTTTGAACAGATATTTTAACATTTTTAACACTTATATTAAATTTCAGTTTAAACATGCTTAATTTGTCATACCTTTAGATTCTGAACAAGGGTTTAGTTTTCCTATGCTATAAAAAATACTTCATAGAAGATGTCAATATATGCCAATGGTGCTGTTATACATACTGGATCTACATGTGTTCATGTACAAGCAATTGCATTACAGATTTCCAGAAAGCAGAAATTTTTAACATTAAAATGCTCACCATTTGGCCATCTTGAAATGAACAGATGTGCATATGTGCGATATGATGTATGACGCATATTTAAAGTTAGGATCATCAGTCGGCCATGTCATGGACATAGCTCCAGAAAAGAATTTTGAATCCTATCAGGAAAACAAAATGATATGCAACAAAGTCCCAGTTGTACATGTATGCACCAAGTTCAAAAAATTCAATCCATGTTCAACCAAGATCTGTTTTTGAAATGATGAGTTTATGTTTAAAACCAAAACCAATGGTTATAGTAACAAGAAATCTTATTCAAAAGCAGAAAGTTAAAACAAATTCTAAAATAATTCACATAGTGAAAACAAAATTTAAAATAATTCACATAGTGAAAAAAACTTGCAGTTGAGTATGCAGAGTTTATAAACATTGACAATGTTATCAGGATCTTCTCTTCTTAACACCAGTAATTGGAGATTAATACTGTTAAAACAAATCATTTCTGTTTGTGCCATATTGTATAAAACACCCACCTGTGTCACAGAACTTAAGGAAAAAAACAATGTATGAATATTAGGCACTAACTCTGCCCCACGCTTCCTTTGCAATTTTAATTACAATTACACATCCAGTGGAATTCAAGCAGCCAATCACACATCCTGTGAAATTTAAGCAGCCAATCACACATCCTGCCAAATTCAAGCAGCCAATCACACATCTTGTGGAATTCAAGCAGCCAATCACACATCCTGTGGAATTCAAGCAGCCAAATCACACATCCTGTGGAATTCAAGCAGCCAAATCACACATCCTGTGGAATTCAAGCAGCCAATCACACATCCTGTGAAATTTAAGCAGCCAATCACACATCCTGCCAAATTCAAGCAGCCAATCACACATCTTGTGGAATTCAAGCAGCCAATCACACATCCTGTGGAATTCAAGCAGCCAAATCACACATCCTGTGGAATTCAAGCAGCCAAATCACACATCCTGTGGAATTCAAGCAGCTAATCACACATTCTGTGGAATTCAAGCAGCTAATCACACATTCTGTGGAACTTTTACAGTCAATCACACATCCTGTGAAATTCCTGCAGCTAATCATACAGCCTGTGGAATTCCAGTAGCCAATCACACAATCTGTGGAATCTTTGCAGCCAATCACACATCTTGTGGAATTCCTGCAGCCAATCATACCACCTGTAAAATTCCAGTATAATCACACATTCTGTGTAATTTTTGCAGCCAATCACACATCCTGTGGAATTCCTGCTGCCAATCACACATCCTGTGGAATTCCTGCAGCCAATCATACATTCTGTGAAATTTTTGCAACCAATCACACATCCTGTGGAATTCCTGCAGCCAATCACACATCCTCCCGGGGGTGCGACTTAAAGAATGATCTGGTACGTATGTTTGTGAAAGAAAACGCGTTAAAAGGGTGTTTTTTTTTAAAGAAACCAGGTTAACACATATTACGTGTTTAGGGTTACCATTTTAGTCAAAATAGACAAAAAAAGGTGTTTTTTCCGGAACTGCCCATGTGATAAGGGTGGTTATTTTTTAAATGAGATTATCATTTTTTTTTATTGCTTTAAGGAATTCAATGATCGCAAAAACAAGGAAAACGTCCGGCCCCCTGGTCGGCCCTCAATCACGAGCGATCACGGCAAATGACCAACCGATCACGAGATCAGACGCAAATTCAAAGTGCATGATCTTTTAGCTTTCTAACAGAGAAAAGGGTACGAAATTGTGACCATTTAAAACGTGTTTAGAGTCATTTTGAAAACCCCTTTCACAGACATGGGTTCCAGGTATTTCCACAAATCGGACCCCTGGGCACATCCTATGGAATTCCTGCAGCTAATCACACATCCTGTGGAATTCCTGCAACCAATCACACATCCTGCTGAATTTTTGCAACCAATCACACATTCTGTGGAATTCCTGCAGCCAATCATACCGCCTGTGGAATTCCAGTAGCCAATCACACATCCTGCGGAATTCCTGCAGCCAATCACACACCCTGTAGAATTCAAGCAGCCAGTCACACACACTGTAGAATTCCTGCAGCTAATCACACATCCTGTGGAATTCCTGCAGCCAATCACACATCCTGCTGAATTTTTGCAACCAATCACATTCTGTGGAATTCCTGCAGCCAATCATACCGCCTGTGGAATTCCAGTAGCCAATCACACATCCTGCAGAATTCCTGCAGCCAATCACACACCCTGTAGAATTCAAGCAGCCAGTCACACACCCTGACTCAAAAGGATACAATTCAAGATATGATGGCACACATACAGTTTCCTTGCTGTGTTCTACATCACAATGCAACTTTGACAGTTGATCTTCATACATTGTCAATGCATCTTTAGCATTAGAGCTGTTACCCTGTAGAATAAAACCAAAGTACCATTAATAGAGAAAATTTTCAAATTTCATCAATCTTATGTACCAAATTTGCATTCCATTTGTTACCTGATCTCCAAAACTCCAAAAAACGGCTGGTAATATTTTGCGTCCACAGTCACTGTATGGGTACAATGGCCGTTATGTTGATTGGATGATAAATATAGCAAACTACTCATCTGATTGGATGATAAATATAGAAAGCTACTCATCTGAATATGCTAATTTGACTACTAATGAAAGACAAGTTGCTGATTTTCCCCCAGACATGTTTTATCAATTGATATTTGCAACAACGACAAATATGTGATCATCCCAATCTTCATGATGTTACTACAAACTTACATAGTTAATATGCATAATTTTATCCACCAATCCGGACATTGGAGGGGAGGGGAAGGCGACCAAGTAACCTGGATATCTATCAGATTACATGCATTGTGCAAACATAAGGTTTTGAAGAAGAAATTAATTTGCATAATAATTGGCATAATAATAACTTTTATTTACTACACACATTTTTAATAGAACTAACTTAATAGACTAAGTGGTACTTCTGTATGTATATCTGTGTATATAAAAGATTTTTTCAAGACTGCTCCTAAAATTTTTACTCAATTTGAAAAAGGAAATATGTTTAAAAAGTGATTGACGCCACGTTTTAAATATGTATTTGGATATTTTTGTTGATAAATAATAGTCACAATGAGGTGATAAATCTTCGCATTAGGAGTGGTTAATATTTGTTTACTGTTAATTGTTCTTTCTTAATTCTGGCAGTTTTGTGATAGATATTTGCAAAAGAAAAGGAATCTTCATATAAAATAGATAGTTGTCTTACCTGCGTAAAATACTTGCCAGTTGGTTTTAATACTTTAATTGACAAATCTAAGATTAGCCTCAGGAAATCCCATTGTGATCCTACAATAAATGGGAATCAAACAAGCTTAGAAATATCACTCCTGTTTGGATTAAAAGCATAGAACCGAAAATATTTTAAATTATATACAAATTCATAACAGGCCAATAAACAAGAAGTCTTTGTTCTTTGAGATGCGAAAAGTAAAAACAATGATCCACAGAATTGACAATACTTACTAGAAATGTTATCACAAATAGGAAAGAAAAGCAATTTTGAAGCTAGCCTGCATCACAGTCTAATCACCAAATCAAACACAATTTACATTGTTTTAATCAAAACATGGACAATGTTATTTCAGCAGCCTATTCTAAATTTGATATCAAAATTCTATTTGGATAAAAAGTGGATAAAAACCGTACAAAATCCAATAAAAATTTGATGCATCCAAGTGTCAGTGAAACGTTTTCTACAGATTATACAGAATAGGAATGTAACTTTAAAGGGGAAATGCTCAATCCCATGGATTGCACCAAAGAATCATGGGACACTATTGTTTATGTTGTTTACAATGTTAATCTATCTTTTATTATCCATTGTTATTTTAATCCAGAAAGTAAATTTGTTGTGAAATTAATCTTAACTGGAAGGTGCCCCTTTAAGGTATTTTTCTGACATACATTTCTGTGCATTGAACTGCAGCCCTTAAATCTTAGCTGGGTTTTAAAAGGAAAGACTAGATTTCAGCATGCAAATCTCACTCTATCCTGATGTCAGAACAGTCTGTGAAATCACTCATTTTAACAGTGAAAAACCAAATATTTTATTTTTCTACTGTATACAATCATGAATACTATTAGGCATAAAAAGTTGACAAAAAGTCATGTTTTTAAACAGGCAATGAACACTTAAAAGAACTGTCAATCACTAAAGATTATTCAAATCAGAGTGTCTAAGTCCAATTGAATATACTCCAACTTTCTACCAAGCATCACCATCAACACAATTGTTCATGACAATTCATCCTTTTAAGGTGTACATGCAGGATTAACACATCTGGTAACCTAGCAAAGTAGCAAAGTGTGGGCAAGAAATTCAAATCCCAGTGATTACAGAGATGCGGTTTCAACAAAATTTAAGTTCAATGAGTTAATGCATGAATGGAGTTTTGCATAGATTCCAGGAAACTGATAAAGACTTACCCCTTGGTTCAGTAGTTATGGGTATTGCTGTCAAATCATTGACCACATAATCAAACTGCTTTCCATTTTTAATATAATCATTCAATGCCGGGATACAGTCTTCGACTCGAACCTATGAAAATATTTGTTGGATATGATTCTCTATATCAGTCATTCATTCAGATTGCAATAGAATAACCACAGCTATGCAGTTTGGTGTACTGCCTAATACTTTATTTTAGCGGGAATTAATTTTCGCTGAAAAGACTTTTCTGGGTGTTTTGTATGGAATTTATTTTCACTGTTTTCTGACTAGTTGAATATATAATATAGGAAAAATGGTATATTCACTGGATTTTATTTTGTTCACCGAATCATTCCTACAGTGAAAATAGCGAAAATTAATTTAAAGCAAAAATAAAGTATTCTACAGTATATCATCAGTTGAAGCTCATAAGAAAGTATCAGACATTTTTTCTAAGCAAAATCTTTGCTGGTTCCTGGCGCCAGTGACTAGTGATCACCATATTGTTCCACGGGGCGGGAATTCTGGCCTTTGATTCATCATGTTACATAATATATTGTTCTCCAAAAACAAGTCTGTATTCCTGCAATAATGCCACGCCCATTTAGTCTGTTATCGTATATATTCATGTAAGAATTAAGAGTAAAAAGGTAAACCCTGCCCTATATATAGAATAATCACAAGAGCATGTGCTGATGAATTTGCTATGGTCAAAATAAGTAATATCAGAGGTACATTACTTGGGGTTTGCAACTATGGTGACATGATACCAAGATCCTGTTTAAATCTTGCTCTCGCATAAGCGTTCCAATTCAGAAAAATGCGAATGCGCATGCCCGAGGTAACTAGGATAATGGGATGCCCAGGTGGATCAAAATAGCTGCTCACGATATGATGGATTACGATAACTATATTTTCTGTACATTTTCACTGTACATGTATTACATTTTTTCACTATGAATGTGGTAATACATGTTTTATTACAAAAAGCCTATGTCATGTCACAAGGTCGTAGCACCTGGCTCGCTATCTACGAGATGAGACTTGAATGGGATCTTGGCATGATGTCACCATACACTACTATGCGCGTAATTTACCTCTGATAATATTTTTTAATGATTTACTAAACAGCCAAACTGATTGTTGGTTCATACAGTACAGACAAGTTTTTAGCAAAGCTGAAAGGACAGTATATTGAATAGATTTTCCATTTCAAGAAAAATTTTACCAAACAAATATTTTCTAGTATGCAAAGGCTAAATACTGTGTAATACCTTATTTGCACTTGGAACTCATTTCACTATTTTTGTTGAAAATAAAATCCAGTGAATATACCTTTTTTCCTATAATTCACATTCAACTTGTCAAAAATCAGTAAAAATAAATTCCAAACAAATAACCCAAGAATTCTTACAGTGAAAATTAATTCCAGCTAAAATAAAGTATTTTACAGTATTAAGATTCAAGGGCAGTAATGTAATTGTATCATTCAGATTCAGGAAACTACTTACAATGTAATTTTCACCCTGTAGTTTGTCCATAGAATCATAGCAGATTCCACGTAAATGTTTTATTGCCCCATTAATAACTAACTGATCTATGTGATTTATGTTAAGGATCAAAAAATGAATAGTGTCAAGTTTACATATCATATTCAAAACAATACACAATATTCAAACTCAAGAGAAACAAAATATTGGAAATAGATGGCCCCACACATTTAGTTAGCTGTGAACAGATGTCAGAATATTGCCATGTTCACTCCGATGGTAAACAAAACCCTTTTACCAATGGTAGGTTTAGGTTTAGTACCGGTAGTTTAGTTCTCATATACATATATCCCAGAATGCAATGCTTGCCTTGCTGAGGTTATATACTAGTAATATTGAAGCTGTTGTAATTTCAAAAGATAGGTGGAAGGAGCACAACCAGAAACACAAAAGCTTCAATAACCAGTCACTTTCATCAGTAATAAATATCCAGGAGATGGATGTCTGTTTACATTCATTATTTGTTTACATTCATTATTTGTTTACATTCATTATTTGTTTACATTCATTATTTGTTTACATTCATTACAAATAAACGATAGTCATAAACCCTATTGTTTATTTTGTCAAAAAAAAGCTTAAAAACTAAAAATAACTTAAAAATCTAAACTTCATGCTGTTTTTTTAGATGCCAAATCTAGTACATTACACATTTAACAGTTAGTCTTTTTGGAAATGGACGAATTGTTAACCCTTCTAACACCCCACTGTTTTCACACCAAAATGTTGGGGCAATATATTGCACATTTAAAAAAAATTTTTTTTTTATTAATTTTGGCTTCAGGTCTTTATAAATTAATTAATATAGATTAAGCCATGTAATTACATGACAAAGTTAGTTCAATAGTAAGCAAAACTGTAATGAGTCAGTCATTTTGAATCAGAACATGAAACATATTACATGATGTATAATGTATAATGTAAATTGTAAAGTTTGATTGTGATCAATCAATGTGTGTCAATTCCAATCTGAGAAAACATTGAGATCCTGGTATATATACAATACCAAGATG